ACAAGCATGTTCATATTTTATTTTTGATTCTGAAGGTCTGCTGATGCTCTACTACGTTTAAGCATCAATTAAACTAGTTCTGCTGCCGCAAATAAACCACACCAAAATCTGAGGGATACCCCTTTTCCTGCTACCAAAAAAAAGCAAAAACTTTAAATCCCACGAAGCTTATGAACTTGAATAGTCAGTGGTGTGCACTCTGCCTATTGAATTTTTTGCATGTGATTAATAACATATTGATTCAACGTGATGGATCTGCAAGGCACTTATAATGCATGTTAGTGTCAGACAGCAATCTCTGCTACGGTAACTGAGCAGTGCCCAGTGCAGGGAAGAGAAATAATAAAGTAACCATTTAGTGAAGCAAATGTGCAATAAAAGGTATGAATTCATTATTTCAAAGCAACTTTTTCTTGTGGATAAATCATTCCCCCCTCACCTATTTTTTCAACTAATTCTAAATGTAGCCTTAAATTTACTGAGTTTACCAATGCTAGTGTTCAGGGCTTTCTCTAAATTGAAGATTACTGTGCTCTTTCAGCATGTTTTGCAACTAGGTAAAAAAGAGCTATATGTGTAAGATCATATGTTTCTAGAAAAACAAGTGGAGTTTTCCATACCCACTAATGACTTTGATCAGCTTTGTAACCAGGCTGTTGCCATACCTGCCTTGGCCACCTCAACACAAAGCTGGAGTTGTGTTTTTATTGCTTCTATCCATTCATCTTAATTTAAACAATAACTGAGGAGAGATTTCTATCCCACCTGTGGCAGCTGTTTAAACATGTCATACAGCACCTTATTCCCACAAATCTAGATCCCAGCACAATTGGTGGAGGAGAACAATCCTCTTTCTTCTTCTTTGTTCCCGTGCCCCATCTGCATTAACACCTGAGCTTTTTTTTTTTCTAGAATACATTAATGGAAGGAAGAGTTGTGCAACACTGCACCGTGGGTGGAAAACGGCCAGGCAGCTTGTACCAGGAAAACAGCTATTACACGCACGCGATCAGCAGGGTTAGCCTCATTACAGGGCTATAAACTCTGAGAAGGTTACAAAGCCCTGAGGCCAGAGCCATGAGCTCGAAAACTTAATGGTAAGGGTGAGCTACTTTTGATTTCAGTCTTGACTTCTCCTTCGTGCTGCCAGTAACTATCGGTGAAAATATGAATCAGTGATGGAAATGAGTTTAGATTTTTAAGATGTGGAGCTGAGGTGGAAGAACGACCCTCAATGTTGCCCCACGGTACTTGGGGAACTATGGTGCTTGGCCAAGCACCACTGCCCGCAGGCCGTCAGCCATCAGAGATTTCCTAAGCACCCTGAGGTTCAATTTACTGTTGTTGTTTTCTTTCCTTCAAGAAGAAAAAAAAGGAACAGAAACTTTAAGCATATGAAGTTTCACACAGGAAATGAAATCGAAACTACTGATGCGGCAGAGCAAAATAAAGCGCAGTGGGTTCTGCAGAGAAGATGCTAAAAGAAGAAGTGGCAAAGTTGATGAACAAGCTCACAGAGAGCGCAACTTTGCAAAACAGGTCGGTGAAATGTAGACTTTCACACATACACACAAAAAAGCGAAGCTGTGTAGACACTATGGTATTTATTTGCTTTCATGCAGCTGGTGCCAGGTGCTGGCTTGCACGGCTGGACACTGGCCTGTTTTGTTTAAACCCAGAACAGCCTTGGCTCAGTCTCCTGCTGCAGCTCTGTCCTCTGAGCTTCCAGGGCCGGCTGGAGCCACTCACCCTGCTCCTGGAGGGGCATTTCAGAAGGAATACCGCTATGTCCTACAGGCCTCTCAATTGGCATTATTCAATCACTACTTATCTGTTTCGAAGGTCCGAGTTGGAAGTAAAACCTTTGGTATTGACCACTAAATCTATATGCTTTTAAATGTCACATGATTCAGGCTGATTCCCGATCAGAGGTGTATTTTCAGTTCACTTTTACCACGGATCTCTGACATCAGCTTTCCTATACAGAAAGCCACACTCATTTTTATGTCCAGAGATATGAAAACCAAATAGCGCCAGAACAAATACTTCACTTCTCCAAGGAAACTAACGTATAAACCACTTCTGCATACCATGGTCTGCAAAGTGCAGAGCACACACCAAGCACAAACAAAGCCCTGATCCCACACACTACTTGGACAAAAGCCCCACTGAATTCACCCTGGAACTGCTGCCTCCGAAGGGAATTTCCTAAGAGCAAGGCTGACTCCAATACTAGAAACAAGTACCTGCAGCCCTGCCTTTATACCAGTGTCAATCCCGCAGGCTACAGGTACTTGCTTTTCCATTGGCTTTTGCAGGTGAGCATCCCAATACAGCATGACAATCTATCAACAGCCTGAGTATTTTTCTCCATCTCTTATCTTTTCAAACAAACACCAGCTGATGGTTTTCATTGCAGGTTGCTTTTATAGCCCTAGCTTGACTACTGTAAACTTAACCTACTCCTGTTGACCAGTTCTGAGATGTAGTTCATAAAGCTGAACAGTTGAGGACAAATTCTTTCTTAGTGCAATTTCATCTAAGTGAACATGCTTACACTAGACACTGACGTGGCACATTAACCTTTAATATCCAAAGCTGTTTTCATCATGACTATAACTGTTTTTCATGGATTTTTTTTTTCCTGTGCAAAAGCTAAGTACAGACAGGTGGGAAACTGTTTGCAGTTCCACCATAAATGACGGGTACGTGACAAACAGCTGAGATAGCCATAAAAACACTCCATATGTAAACTAATGGTAGAAAGAGAGAGAACTTCCTTACTTGTCTGGATTTTTGTAAGGAGGTGACATGCATACAAGAACTGCATGATCTTTTGGCAGTTTTGCTGAAGTAGAAAGCTAGGTGACTCCAAGTCAGATATGTCACTTTAAATTTGCCACGTGACTAATATCCTACTAAATTTGACTTGTAATTTATGGCTTGTGTACTGCAGGAAGAGTGGAGGAGAAGGGACTTTCAACCCTACTAAGCAACAGTATCTTTGCTACCATATTCCCTTGAAAGAGCAACCCTCTGAATCATTTAGGAAGGATCTGATTGAGGAGAGAGAATTGATGTGGTTACAAAAGAGGGAGGGCAGCAATCACTACAAAAAGTATATGAAAGCAAGTCTACCCTGTTAAATCTTGATTTTAGAATCCTGTCTTGTATAACATGAGAAAAAAAATGGGTTTTGGTTGCTCATATTTAGTCTTTCCTCAATCTGCTACGGTAGACCCATTTGTAAACTTTACTTTTGACAGACCCTGATGGGAAATGAGGTGTTTGCATAAGCAATATACTTCTTGCTGATAAAGGAGAATATAGAGAAGCATCACCTTATCTTGGCAGACTTGACAGAGCAAGCCCATAGAACAATTCCTGTAATTCTTCTTCCTACCAATTGGGAGTTCCTTTTTTTTTTCCTTCCTATAATAGCTAGATCATCATAGAAAATTCCCGAGACTGATATGGTGAATCTGAGTCTGGTTTTGCTTTCTTTCAGCACAATTAAAATAAGGTTATTCCAACAAAGGGCGGTTTTTGGCTGCCGCGTATGGGCCAACCCATGAAAATTTGCTACCCTGTAGAGCTCGCAGACGCCCCTCTGCACGTCCGAAGCTCTTTGGCAGACAGCTGCAGGGCTGGGAAGGCGTTTAGCTGAGGAGCAGATGCTCTGTGCGGCGTTAACTCCCTCACGTGGTTACAGCCGCATGAGGAAACCAGCACGTAACGGCAGAGCCAGGGCAGTTGGTGACTCGCTAAATCCTAAATACCCCAAAGCTCTCTTCACGGCTGCTGGAGAATGGGATTGGTAACCAGAAGGGAAAAAAGGGTGATCTTTACTTTTTAAATACTTATCGTCCTGATATAATTATGCATCAAACTCTTCAACTGATAACTTCAATTGGCACTTAATGAAGATTTGAAGGGATCTCAAGTGAAATCCTGGTAAAAATTCTAATTAATTTCAGTGATACCCAAATTTCACCTACTATCTCATCTGAGGTTACCATTTACATCTTGATTTTAGCCTACATGAGTCAAACCAGTGTAACTTCATTGACCTTCAGGAGGTCACTCCTGTTCTATGCTGGTATGAATGAGAGTGACTCCAACAGGGAGTGAGGAGTTAATGACACGTACAGCACCATGGCTGAATCAGAACCATAAAATAATTTAGTTTAGAAGGGACTTCTGGAGGTCACATAGCCCAGCCTCTTGCTCAAAGAAGGGCCAACATCAGACTGGGTTGCTGCTGGTCTTATCTGGTCAATCTCTGTGCCACCCATCCCACTGCTTCAGTCCTCTCAGGGTGAACATTTTTTCCTTATGAACAATATGAATTTCACTATCAGACAAAGAATGAAGATGAGGAGGAAAAGGGAGAGGAGGATTAGCACAAAATGACAAGACAATACCAAGTGGAAAGCTCAATCTTCATATTGTGCATGCCTACAATACAAGCAGTTGGAAAGAAAAAGATACAGAGGGTGTGTGCAGTGAGTGACAAATGGGTAAGCTCCAGGTTAAGTACAAAGTAAGCAACAGTCCCTGGTGGCAGCATATCAGACAATAGTCATTTCATTGTCAGAGTAAAAACATATTCCTTTAAGAAAACCAAACAAAAAACCCTTTTGATTGTTACAATGCATGCCAAGCAATTACTGCTTTCCACAATGTGTCCTGTGACTCACTGTGCCACAATAAATTGGCATATGGTGCTCATTCAGGGTATATCACTCACACATTTGCAATAGCTCTAAAGAACTAATAGTTACTTGAACTGTAGTTAATTTTGGGGGTTTTTAATTTCCCCACGGCAATGCAATGAATATCATGCTTATTATTGTATTATTATTATTTTTTTAAAAAATAAAATAATGTTTTTAGTGGCAGGCAAGTATCATTAACGCCTGAAATCTCTTGTATGCTGGGGAAATCAATTCAGACAGCCTCTGGCATGCGAAAGCACACAAATAATTGGTAAATACTACCTGTGGTCTTCTGGGTCCAGATTTGCCTGATGCCAAGAGCAATCAACTCCTTTTTGGCTGCAAAGGATAGGAGGGCACTCAATACCTTGCAGAAGGCACTCGGTACCTGGCAAAAATCAAGCTTTCTGTGTGCCAGCACCCCATGAAAGAGCAAACCCTGAAGTGTGTACGTCAGAAATGGTTCTCTTTTCTTATGAGGGAAGGCAACCTCCTTGAGAGACACAGAGCCAGATCTCCGTAAGATGCTGAATGCTCCCCCTGCCTGGGAAAGGTACCCTTCCTACAGTTACCCTGCTTAAAAAATAGCTCTAATTCTCTTACCAAAGGAGATAAAAAAAATAACAAAGCAACTGTCTTTCACTGAGTCTGCCCATGGGCCACAGTAGACTGGAAATCCATTTTTTATCATTAATAAAGACATCAGAGATGTCTTAAAAGCAGGGATCAAGCAGTGGCAGAAGACACTGTGTGCAACTACAAGAAAATTCTTCTCCTGTAATCAAGATTACTCAAATGAGCCAGGGGTACACCATGACCACCAAGAGAATACGGCTTCAGAGTGCTAATCGAGTTTTCCATCATACCGAGATGACATAACAGGGCAAGAGGTCCTATATAGGCAAGGTCTACCTAATGCTTGTATGCATTTGACACAAGTCCACTGAAGCCAGTACTATTCATTAGCAAAAGTGGATCAGCAAGACAGAAATGGACCAGTGGGATTTTGCCCACACAGGGACTCGGAGCTACAGCAGAAGCGCCACGGGTTTCAAGGTCATTCCTGAAATGGACTCATTCCTGAAAAAGGGGGTTTGACTTTGATGCCGTTTACACAATGATAAAGCAATAGCAATGCTACTAGAATCCACAAAGCTACGCTGGAATAAATCAGTTAGTTGAGAATTAGATCCTGAATTTGTATGTCTTGCAGCTAATTTCACAGGTATTAAACAACACTAACATCTCAAGATGTGACTTGGAAGGAAAAACATAAACAAACATCTCAGCCTACAGCTCTACTGCTCCCTGATCCCCAAAGAGGCAATTATTCCCTCAGCGGTGTTTTGTATGGGCCAAATACTATGATTGCCAATACAAATATTTTGCTCCTGGGATTTTGCTTTATAAAATGTAAGTTTGGACTGTGTGGCCTCAGATGTTTTCCTCAGTGCTTAACACAACAGGTTCCAAATGGTGATCGGGGAACATGGCCATGACCTTGGCATGAACAGCAATGGTAAATAATGACCTGCTCTGCCTATTTCCTCACCTTGAATCTCCTGAACTGTTTAATTGTGTGGAAGAAAGTTGAAATTATGCCTGAACCAAGACTGCCAGGGTCTGACCTGCGCTCTTTTACAGTTATTCTGTAGATCCTTTGCTGGCGCTCACAAAAAAATTGTCCATCTCCCCAGAAATATCTTTATTAACATGTTTGTTGTACTTGCTTACCTACCTTCCTCTAGGAATATACTCAAAGTGCAGAAGTACATAAAAATTAAGTAGAGCTGAGACCTTCTTCCAATCAAAAGTCGTATTCCTCTATCACCCAAGGAGATAAAACCGGTGATTAGGTAATAACTACCTTCTCCTCAATGCAAAGACTCTCCCTCCAGAGAAGGAAAAGCTGCCTTTGTCCAGATCCCTCCTTCTCTTGTTGGTTAATTCATGACAGTGTTAGCTAGCTTTTCATTATAGGGTATTATTTGTAGCTGCTGTTTTCATGAATCAGCTGTAATAAACAAGTGAAATTTATGTTCCTTTTTAAATTGCTTGAAATAATTAGTGTTGTTAAATTTAGACTCTGAAAGAACTGATTTCTCTATTTTTTTAAATAAATACAGAAGCTACAAAGCAATCTATCATCACCAGTCAGGCTGGGGCCAGAACAGTATGCGCTCCATATACTATCCAAAATGTGTTTTAGATGAGGAAATAATCTAAGTTCTCCAAACAACCTTTTAAAAGTAAATGATGGTTGTGCTGAATTGTTTTAACAACTGCACTGTGTGTTATTCGTCTCCAACCTAAACTCAGAGAGGACTTTTTACTCCTATTCTGGTCTATACAGGTGCAAACAGGCACCCTGGATCTGGATCATGCTGGTAAACTCAATGGAAAGTAGGACCAAAACTGAGACCCAGATCAGAATTTTGCAGCTGGCTTCTTAGCTTAGTGATTTATACTGCATCCAACTATTATAAAAGCCCTGACCCATGTCAGGCATTCAAATACCAAACTTGGAGCTTGTGGTTTGCTCTCATCTCTGCATCATTTACCTTATCCACTCATTCCCCCTCAACAACAACTTGCTGTATTGAAGTCCAGATAGTTATTTAAAATAAGTAAATGCAATGCCCTCCACAACCCAATTTGGCCATTTTGCAGCTACTGCTGCTGAATTTCAGAGCCTGATCCAACAATCCTGCTTCATGGCAGCACCGAACCTCTAAAAAGCTTTTCATTTATAGTCATGTTGTGTTTTGGGTTTTTTTGTTTGTTTGGTCAGTTTTGCAATTCATCAGCCCTACTGTATTTTTCTTGTTGCAGGTGCCACCATCCCAGCAGTGCAGGTTTCCTCAGTGCAACAGGAAAGACAAGATGAAATACCAGGGGCCATGACAGAACTCAGCCTTAACGGCTCTACAAGAGGGGACTGATGTCGAGCAGACGTTCAGCTGGCTACAACCCCAGAAGAGGTGAGGAAAAGATGATCTGCTGCAGGAAAGACCACATCATGCCATGCACAGGAGAGATACAGTAACTATATAGTACTCGTGTAATGAGAAAAGGTACAAAATGAAGACAAGGAGAAGGCTAAACATGACAGTTTTTACATTATGAACTCTTATAAGTAGAGGAAGGAAAAGTTAGGGAAGGTATACAAACAAGAACGATGGAGCTCGGAAAGGATTTTGGAGTAACGTGCAGAAGACAGTTGTAGCAGATATCAAAACATAAAATTGTAAGTATTTATTTGCTCTTTATATAATAAAACAGCAACAACTTCTACATAAATGATAAAATCCCGGAGCATTAAAATAAATATATAGGCATAATTCATTCCTGGGTAAAATAAGTAAGTGGCATGCAATGGGATGGGGATTTAGGGCTAGGAAGTGCCCTACATCTCAGGAGAGCAGTGACATTGCCCAAGGAGCAGCTAGCTGCAAAGCCATGAATCAAAGAAAGACCTAAAGGTGATTACGGGCAAGATCAGCCAAGTAATAGAGTTTCTCTGTGTGATGCTACCAAGTGATGCAGAAGGGTCAAAGGCTAAGCTATTTCTGGATGTGTATATATGAAGGGATGATATGGAAATCTAAAGCATAACGATATGTCAAAACAACCACAGCAGATATAGTATGAGCTGTTCAAGTCTCCACAACTTAGAAAGGAGATAGAAAAATTAAAGGAAATACAAATAAGTACAGTAAAAATGATCTAAGGAGAGAGTAAGAGAGCTAAATTAATACGGTCTATAAATTAGAAGACTCCTGGGCTGAGATCCAGCTATAAATACCTTCAAGGTACTCTGTGTAGAGGAGGGTAATTAATCTAGCTCAAAAGATAGTAGGACAAGAAGCAATTGCTTGAATTTAGGAATGGAAAAAATCAGGATATATAATAAGAAAAAGCTATTTGAAGAGACACATCTGCTCAACAGGGCAGATTCCCAAGGTGGTAGCCAAGGCACACTTACTATATGCAACTGAGAACACACAGAATAAGGAAGGGGCTCTGAGAAATGCTGCAGTCAAAGCTTTCTACAGCCCAAAGAGATCACACCACAGTCCAACTTATTGATCTTTTGGTCTCTTCCTTTAGGGTTTACCTGAAAGACTGCTCCTCTATTTAAAAAAAAAATAACCCAACACCCAAACCTGTATATGCACATAGTGACAATGCATCCATACCAGAGCTGAGAAATGGTGGTGCAGCACTCCGACGTGCACCGCGGATAACGGCAAACCTCTCTAACTCTCTTCTGGCTACTCAGTGGTGTGTGTGACACGAGTCTGCTGGGTGCCAGGCAGGACACTGTCAGGTAGACAAAAACTGCTGACCCAGCCAGCAGATTATTCTTAGTATCTCAACACCGAGGTCAAAGGCTGAAGTGGGAACTACCTCTTGTGATACTCATGGTCTTCCCCAGCCTTGTGTTAAGAGATCCTGCACAGAAGCCTTCAATGTCACTGCATAAATTATGTACTTTGATTTATAATGAGCTGAAAGTCAACACTAGCAGTTTTTAACAATCCTCAGGAGCTCTAAAATACACCTGCATTAAGAAAAATAAAATAAAAATCCCCAAACATTTGCAACAGGCCTTACAATTTTCAATGACAAATGGGTATACACAAACGTGAGGAATATAAAACCCAAGTACCGTTATACCCCCCCTTAAACATATCCCATCCCAACTGCACTCACCAATCGGGACTTCTGTCCCCTCCTCAATGTAGATGGGCAGTGGTGATTCCTCCATAGGATGAGGCACTGATGGAAAGTAATGAATTGTGGTAGTATTTGTCGCAAAGTGACTATAATAAGATGGTCCCTTTCTTATCATTACAACTACAAATGGCTGGTTACTGTCACAAAAAGACCTCTCAAAGTGGTCACCTCCTGTCACAGTGACCGGTCCAAGTCACAGTCCTGAAGGGTTAATCCCCACCGAATATTCACCGCCACAGGAAACAACCCCCTCTGACCAGGGCCTGGGAGAAGTCCCTGTCCTGGATGCTTCACCACCCTGCCATTTTGCTACAGCCTCCCTATTCCTGTCCCTGGAGTTTAACTCTCTTTTGGAAACTCACACAGTTGAAGAAGCCAAGGGGAGCCAACGCACAGACAGGCACAAATAGAATTATAGAGTCAAAGTCATAATATTTCATGCACAGAACCAGAAGAAAGAGGCTCTGATGCTCAAAGCTTGCCGTTAGCTGTTGAAAAGCCACAGCAGGTGATGGAAGGCTGCACCGCAAATGGCCTCTGGACCACAAACTTCTCATTACTCGTTCATTTCGAAGTGTATGTATTGGACTTAGGAAGCTCCCAATTACTTGTTTGTGACACTGAAATATCCAGACAGAACTCTTCAGATCTGCACTGCATGCTTATTCTGCATCTTATACCATACAGTACAGTCACTGCTGCAGGGTTCATCTGTCTGGGTTCTTCTCTCTTTGGGAGCTTCCACCCTTAAAGGTGGCTTTGTTGCACTATTTCCCATTTAAAATTTCTGGGAAGCATGTGCTTGACAGGCTTTCAAAGAGGTTTGAATTTCCTATGCCAGAATGAAATAATAATGAGCTACAAATGTTACAAATGGTCATAACCAAAAGCCTTCTAGATTTTTTTTCCTCCTCTGTTATCTTTTAAAAATTTTGATGTACCTTCTCAAAGATACAAACTCTTAAACCAGCCTCAGCTAGGATTCCAGCTGCAGGGAAGGAGCATTCTTTAATCCTTTGTGGGGTATCCTTCACTTACTACTGCCTTTTTCTTTTTTCTTTTTAAAAAGACTGTCTTATGATATCCGTAAAACCAGCCAAAGAACACTTGTGGTTTAAAGCTATTAAATAAAGCGTCTTACAAGGTTTCTGCTAGCAACACAACCGGAATAAAGAGTGTTTTCAACAGATGCTTGACTAGCAACGGGCTTAGTATCAACCCCACGCTGGTGCCCTGCAGGATGCAAAGGGCTGCCAGTCCCCTGCCCTCACCTAAGCCCACCCCTCGCTCCGGTGGAAGATGAAGGGAAGCAGAGGGGAGAGGAAGAGCAGAACACGGGTTGCCTACAGAACTACCGTACAAGCCACAGAAATCATGGTCTACCGGGGCGCCTTGCGCAAGCCACTTTTATCTAGAAGCTGAACTAACATTCCAGCTCAACAATAGCAAAAAAACATTTGTTACCACACGGCGTTTTGCTACATATTAACCAGCAGTTGCTACGCAAGCATGATGGAGTGCTGCAATTCCGAGATATATGTTATTTTCAAAAAAAAAAAAGGTTGACTTATGGGAAATCAGCCTGAGGTGAGGGCTCCTGGGCTTGCCATGCTACTGGACGCAGTACATGCTTGGGAAGTTATGCAAAGCAGGCCCTGCATTGGGAACAATGCAGTTGTTTTCCTTGCTAAGCTAATTTTGCTTTTAAGGCAATGAGAGTCTTCATCTATGCAGACACTTAAAACATTTAATCAGATTTATTTACTAGGAAGGAATACCGGAGCAGAGCTTCCTATGCTACTCAAAGGAGTTTTCAAATCTGAGATCTGCAAGCAAACCAGGTCGATAGATGGTGTGGGAAAAACCTGTTATATTTTTATGACATGCAGCTTTCTTGGTCCCATGAAGAATACTGTACTGGGCTCACCCAGACCGACCAGTCAGTCTGGGGCCAAATGCTTTCACAAAACATATGCAACAGTATTCACCAATGGCTGGTGGCACTGACTCTTATTTTAATGGGTATCACCAGAGGTTGTAGAAAAGGCCTAAAATACCTATAGGCTATTTAAGGCCAAATACGCATATACACACTCTCTCTTACCCACACATATACATGCACACACTAGTACACATGCACGCAAACAGGCTCTATAGGCAGAACTTGGATTCTGTAGGATCCAAGGCAGAGAGGCTGACTCTTGTCACAGGGTTTGGGAAATCAGGGACTCTGGGGTGCTAAAACGAGCTCTCATTTACAGGGCTCCTCTGCTTCGGGCAAACTACTTTAACACTACCCCTCCGGGATTTACAAACCAACTTTACGGGCATCCTGCTTAAATGTCTGCAAAGTGCTTTGCAACGGTTTCTAAATTCTGCAGTGATATGCACAGAAGAACTGCACAGATAGATTTTAGATAACAGTTGCTGAGCATTATTACTGTATAACTACAGCCTATTTTTACATGCTCTATACTTGGTTTCTAGAAACAGATGGTAAATGTTCAGTATTTGAACGTTTTAATGAGATTTATAACCCTTTTGTAATTTCATAAACAAGCATAAATAACACTTACATGAAGAAGAGTCTCTCTTGAATGGATTTTCGCTTCCTGTTTGGAAAAGAAAAGAGAAAAAGAAAAGGCAAAAAAATATTTTAAAGGAAAAAAAATGGGTCTCACAAGATAAGTCTAACATGATTCAATGTTATCATATATAGTGTTTTCTGCATTTCATGAGTATGAACTTATATTTGAAGAACATCACGACACTGAACATAGTACCAATGCCAAAACAGGAGAGCATTTCTCACTTGTTTCATCCTATGTAAAACATGGCAGAAAATGTGACTGTATCTGTCTCCAGACCAAGGAAGTTGCACTGCAGCAGTGAAATAAAATGCAAATGCCATGTGATCTGAAGTAAAAAAGGAAGAACTTCTAACTACATTCCAGCTCACTGATAACCCCGTGGCTTGACGTAGGGGTTGTCTCCTACCCACACCCCAAAGCAGGGCACTCCTGCTGTGTTTTGGCACAGTGTAATTGTTTTTCCATGCCAGCGCCCAAGCACCCACTGCGTTCAAACCCAGCTTGGGCAACCACAGCAGCGAAGGCGTTCTTCAAGGCTGTGACCATTCTGGGCGACAGAGAACCACAACAGGAAACCCAGTAACTGCTAAAATGCACGAGCCTTCCCGACAGCCCATGGTTTTTAACAGCCACTCTCCTGAGGCCCCCTGACACCCACCCCGCTGCCCCCCACCATAGCTCGCTGGCAGGATGTGGATTTGATTCAAGCTCCCCTTCCACCAACCCAGCTGCTGGGTTTGACGGATGCTCTTGGAGCAGAGTTTAGTGTCGGCACTATTTGCTGGTGTAAATCTGGACACAGTGGGGGAAAAAAAAGAAGAGAGAAACTGATATAAATACAGAAGATGCTGTAGGATACCAGCCACAAATTCAGAGTCACAGAGTGGCTGCATAGTAGCCCTTCCAATGGCAGTTTTGGGGCAAAAAAGTACAACAAAGAGTGGCAGTTTCAGTTAATTTCTACCACATTATCTTACATCAATATAAGCTACCCTGTAAGCAATTTAAAGAGTGTTGCCTAGATTAACATGCTTTGGGATGATACTCAGCTAGCACAAATCAATTAAATCCATGGCACTGCAACAGCTGAGGATTCAAGTAAATACACATGTATGGAAGAAATTCAACAAATAGTAAATGACCACATTTTCATCTTCATGCTTTTCTTCCAAATGCCAAGGACCCCATCCTGCAAGCAGTCCCCCAGAGTGGCATTCGAATACGTGAGTTCTGTGCATAGAGCACTAGAGGACTGGACTCAGGATTACTTTAAAAAACATAACCCTGATTCATTCTGGTCACGTAAATTAAGTTAGTGATGAGAAGAAGTCGAAGGCACTAATCCTACTGGGTAATCTATTCAAAGCTGCACTTCTTAAATGATCTACAATTTATTAGTATGACCAATCAAATAAGCATTACTTGAAAAAGGCTTTAACTACCATGGCTTTCCCATCCATTTTTATGTGTTGTAATATGGTTAAATTTAAAAGAAACAAATCAGCATAATCTTTTCAGAGCCATTTTCCAGCATGATTAAAAGCCTGGGCAAGGCACCACTGTAGAGACTGCCCTTACTGGTGGAACTGGCAACGTTGCCATAGGGGCATTGGAGCAGTGTTGTCCCGTTGCCCGTTGGGGCAAAAACTATGGGGCATTCAAAAACCTAGATGGGGTAAAATTAAAGTAATCAGGGTTTGCTGGGGAGTCTTAAAGTGCATTGATGAAAATTCTGGGAGCGTCACTGAGGGGGAAACATGGCAGCCTGAGGGGAGGCTTGTGCCCAAGAGTCTCTTTGGAAACACTCAGCCCGCAGGTCTCGGCTAGAAGCCGCTAAGATGTGGCTCCGTCTTGGTTAGGCAGAGTATCGATTTAAGGAAAACTCATTGAAATATCTGCAATGATTAGCTGTAAGACAAGATCCTCCCCCAGGCTTTACAAACAGAACTGCGCTCAGGCACAGGAGGTACAGCAAGAGTAAGCCAATCTAAACTGACTCCCTAATTTTCCATGACAATGTTGCACCTCTTTTCATATGGCATTTCACGTGGACTGAAGCCTCCTGCCACAATCTCCCCCATTTCACCTCTGACATTTAAGAAACATCCAGGAAACCCACCCGAAAGCTACAAATTAGGGACTACCAACAAAGAACAATATGCCAAATTTTGCTCCGGGTTACAGCAAAGTAAAATAAAAATTGGTAGCATTTGAAGGATTCCAAATTTCTACTGGATTCTAGACCAACATCCCTAAGCAAACCAACAAACCCCCCCCAGGATTTTGATCTAGCACCCCCAGGCATGCAACCACCTTCTCGCTACCTCCAGCTATCACAGTGCCATCTGCAATCTCCTGCTTTTTGCCAAGTATGACCGAAAATAACCCTAACACGGCACAGTAAATGAAGCGGGTTAATAAATGACAGCCAGAAGCGGGGTCTCCTCCCTCAGCCCGTCCGAAGGCTGGGGGTCTGCGGCCCGGCCCCCCCGCGGGAGGGAAAGGTGTCTGTCGCCCCCCAGTGGGTGCAGGCTCCCAACCGGGGGAGAGGTGGGAAGGGCAAGGAAGAGAGAAGGTGAGACGCAGGCAAATAAAGAGGGGGGAGGAAATAAATAAATAAATATGCAAAGCAGAGAAGAGACAGTTGAAGAGGAAACGCGAAGATGCTATCTCCGAAAGTGCCAAAAATAAAGTTTCCAGTGTCAGTCGAAGCAGGGCAACAAAGACATCCTCCTGCCACACTGGGGCTTCAGCCTCCGCTTACTCCGGGCGAGGGACACCGTCCCACCGCTGGCTGCCTCTGCTGCTCACACGTTTTGATTTAAAAAAAAAAAAAAAACCAACAACCTTCAGGGGAATTTTTCCGTAATACTTAAGCAACGGTGGGCAATGGCAAAAAGCAGCCAATGAGCCCAAATGCAGACCCAGAGGTAAACACCCGGCTGTCAAAAACCATCAGGGTTTTCACCAAAGCCTCTCCCCTCCAAATTCCACAGCAGCAGCTTTTAATGGGCTGATTTACCCTCAAACCCAAAGCCATAAAATCTAAACCAGTAGCAACTGTCATCCGGATTACACAGTCGATGACATGTCCCTCACTTTTTTTTTTCCAAGTCCAAAACTCGAAACATTTTGACATGCAAGCAATAAAAAAAAAAAACCCTGCAGTTACCAAAATTGCACTATCAACGTAACCGGCTCCTCTCAACACATTTTCTTAATGCCTTTCCCAATACGGTTAAAAAAATGGGAACTAACCAAAAAACTCCATCTTTACACCTTGGCACAAAGCGTGCTGGAATACGTGTGGGGTTGTATTTCTTCATGTTTATCTGGATCCTCTCCCACTACTTTTTTTTTTTTTTCATCAGTGCTTTCCTTTAAAAGCAGCTCTTATTAAACAGCAGAAACCAGCTTTTACAATTTCTAAATACAAAGTTTTGCCACCCTCGGAGCTGCCTAAGGAAAAGGCAGCTTGCCTTCCTTTTCATAAATAACACATACTCGGCACATTTCTTCGCCTGTGTGAAATAAATTCTCCCATGTTCTTATATGGAAACCTTGCGAGTCCTCCCACATGCCGCCTGTTACAATATCAGGCAGAGATGGGCATTCATTATCTGAAAGCCAGAGAGGGCTGAATTTTGGATCCAAGTTACCCCGAGACGAACCCAGAATTATCACCCCCTCGCACCAAGCTGAGCTCGGTTAACCTGCCCCGCGCAGTCCCTGCCTTTTTCTTTCGAGCCTCAATCACAACTTTGATTTCAACACGCCAAGGATGAACAAAATAAAAGGAAAACGAGGAGGGGTGGGAGGGGGGAGGTGGAGAGAAGAAAGGGAAGAACCAGGCAGCGGTATGACCCACCTGGTAGGCCCATTAGCATCAGATGTAGCATTGCCTGTAGCAGCCTCTTCACTGGAGGTTAGCCCACGGCAGCCAGAAAAAAATATACAGCGGGGAGGGGCGGGAAGGTGACAGAATTTAAAA